TTGTCTTATTTTTTTTTTTTTTTTTTTTTTTTGCATGGTCAATATCTTCCCACAAGATGGACACAGTCTAGCGTTCATCCCAACGGCCCGATACACACACTTTAAAGCCAGACGGCCCACGGGGTGACTGGAGCGTGAGCATGAGACTGGACGTTTTTCGACCGTTAGTTTCAAAACTGCACTAAAAATACATATAGTCATGGGCTGACTAGACCCAGGCGCTCGGGCAAGATGGTCCACGTTAGAATCTGGGCCTTTGCTTGCTCGTCAAGTCTCCTCATCAGATCTAACCAGACAAGTATCCAAACTAAAAATCTGGTTGTTATTCATCAACATCCTGTGAAACAGGCTAGGACCCTGAGTCACTTGGAAAGTTATTTAAAAAAAAAAAAAAAAAAAAAGTCACCCTGGCCAGTGTGGCTCAGTGGTTAGAGTGTCGGCCTGCACACCAAGGGTCTCGGGTTCGATTCCCAGTCAAGGGCAGGTACCTGGGTTGCAGGTTCGCTCCCGTCCCCGGTTGGGGTGCGTGCGGGAGGCAACCAATCGGTGTCTCTCTCACATCCATGTTCCTCTCCCCCTCTCTCTCTCTCCCTTCCTCTCTCTCTGAAAAGCAAAGAAAAAGTCTCCCCAGGTAAGGAGTAACACAAAAATTAAAAAAGAAAGTGTGTCTAAAAAAAGAGAGAGAATGAACGAAGTCCAGCACAGGGAACAGAGTCAATAATATTGCAGCAACTGCGGATGGTGCCAGGCGGGTACTAGGCTTATCGGGAGGGCTGATTTGTAAATTATATAATCGTCTAACCACGATGTGTACACCTGCAACTAATATAAAATCAAACTGAACGGCAACTGTAAGTGAAAAAAACCCAGAATGACGATTTTTCTACAGTTCTAAGATACCGATTCTCCCCTCGTTTTAACATCTTTAAAACTAAAAAACTTCTGGTAATTCATACGTAGTGACTATAATTTCCCTCCTCTCCAGTCCCCTTGCCTCTGTAAAACATACTTATAATCTGTACATGTAAACAGAGGGTCCCCCTCACAGCGGGCGGCATCCCAGGCCCGGGGGACCGGCCCCCTCCTGTCTGTGTCGCACTGAACGCACTACCCTGCGGGCGCGCCCTTGGTCCTACCTGCGGAAATCCAGGAGGGACCTCGTGGAGGACGGCACTCCCTGGTCATACCAGCTCAGGAAGTGGAACTGGGTCACTGTGCGCGTCTCGTTGGTTTGAAGGTTTTTCAGGTAAAAGCTCCTCACGAGGAAGTCCTCACACCAGATGTGCTCGGAGACCAGGTTCACCTGGGGAGGGGACAGGGGGAGAGGGGACAGGCAGGCGTCGGCGACACGGAGGCCACACGGTTCACATCGCACAAGGGTGGACCGCTGGCTTAAAGGCCCCTCCCACCCTCTCATTTTAACAGGGTTCGTACAAAAGGTAACTTTTTTGTTCGTTTTTAATGTCCTATAGGGTCATAATACTCGAATAATTAGAAAGATGGTTTACAATCCAAAACCATTCCAGTGTCTTTGTCTTTTGTACTTTAGGCCATATAAATCTTCCAGAAAAATCACCAGAGAGGAAAACCACTTTTGAACAGAAAGACCAGTGGGTTCCACGCTAGCTTATGTTTCGTGGACGTGGAAAGAGGAGCCAGAGGCCTCACAGACACACCATGGCCTGGGCGCTGGCCCTTCTTGGGTGGAAGCCCATTGGTGACCCAGGGTCCATGACTATGTGACTCAGGATTGATCTTTAAGCTTCTAATGTGGTTCCCACCTTGGGACATGAGCATTCTGACCAATTCTAATGCAAAGCAGAGCCAAAGGATGGTTCTTATTTAACTGTCCAAGTTTACCAGCTTCATCTTGGATGTAGATAGAAAATCCAGAAAGAGCGATATGCTCACCAGCAGGTTCCCCTCAAATAAAAAGATCCACAGGGTGGCAGGTGGGGTCAGTAAACAGTGAGAGCAGGGGCAGGCTCTGTCTAGAAACTGAGCCCCTACCTGGCCTCCTCTCAGGACCTGCCTGAGCGGACCACCTGCGAGGCTGTCATTTCGTCCTTTCTGCCTGCATTTGGGTTCATAAAACTTTAAACATGAGAAGCATGCCACTGACGCCAGGGTCCGAATTCTAGCAGGGTAGACAGTCAGAGGCCTGGGTGCTGACCACAGGACCCAGGGGACACCCGGCCCACTAGCCAGCTCCTGCAGGGACCCGGCCGCACAGCGTGGCTTCAGGGGCTGTGGCCCAGTACCTCGTAGACGTGGTAGAGGTTGGAGCCTTCGTCGGGCCAGTAATGGCAGCACTGCCGGACACCGTTCTCTGACAGGGGGGTCAGCATGACGATGACCACGCAGCCGCTCTCCCACACCATCTGCAGAGAGAAGGGCCGTGGCCGTGCGTGCCTAGTGGGTCACCCACAGACACGTCCACGTTTACCGCATTCCCAGGACACCGAGTCACTGTCATCAGACACCTGCTCTGTACTTCCCAGCTCTGAGCACCTCGCCCAGGCGTGTGTGTTCCATGAAATATTAAAAGAATCTGGTGAATTTGTGCCTTTGAAACATTCTCAGTTCTTGTTCAGCAATCGGACACCCCAGTTTTTCTCTGCAAAGGAAACTTTCCACAAAGACACACAAAACAGACCCGGCATCCACATCCCATTCTGGCTGACATAGGCAGGAGGGAATGACACTCTCCCTGCTGCGCCAACTCGGTCAGGTGCCATGCCCGTGCCACGCCAACTCGGTCAGGTGACATGCATGTGCTACGCCAACTCGGTCAGGTGCCACGCCCGTGCCACGCCAACTCGGTCAGGTGACATGCATGTGCTACACCAACTCGGTCAGGTGCCACGCCCGTGCCACGCCAACTCGGTCAGGTGACATGCACGTGCTACGCCAACTCGGTCAGGTGCCACGCCCGTGCCACGCCAACTCGGTCAGGTGACATGCATGTGCTACACCAACTCGGTCAGGTGCCACGCCCGTGCCACGCCAACTCGGTCAGGTGACATGCATGTGCTACACCAACTCGGTCAGGTGCCACGCCCGTGCCACGCCAACTCGGTCAGGTGACATGCATGTGCTACACCAACTCGGTCAGGTGCCACGCCCGTGCCACGCCAACTCGGTCAGGTGACATGCATGTGCTACACCAACTCGGTCAGGTGCCACGCCCGTGCCACGCCAACTCGGTCAGGTGACATGCATGTGCTACACCAACTCGGTCAGGTGCCACGCCCGTGCCACGCCAACTCGGTCAGGTGACATGCATGTGCTACACCAACTCGGTCAGGTGCCACGCCCGTGCCACGCCAACTCGGTCAGGTGACATGCATGTGCTACACCAACTCGGTCAGGTGCCACGCCCGTGCCACGCCAACTCGGTCAGGTGACATGCATGTGCTACACCAACTCGGTCAGGTGCCACGCCCGTGCCACGCCAACTCGGTCAGGTGACATGCATGTGCTACGCCAACTCGGTCAGGTGCCACGCCCGTGCCACGCCAACTCGGTCAGGTGACATGCATGTGCTACACCAACTCGGTCAGGTGCCACGCCCGTGCCACGCCAACTCGGTCAGGTGACATGCATGTGCTACACCAACTCGGTCAGGTGCCACGCCCGTGCCACGCCAACTCGGTCAGGTGACATGCACGTGCCACGCCAACTCGGTCAGGTGCCATGCATGTGCTACACCAACTCGGTCAGGTGCCACGCCTGTGCCACGCCAACTCGGTCAGGTGACATGCACGTGCTACGCCAACTCGGTCAGGTGCCATGCCCGTGCCACGCCAACTCGGTCAGGTGACATGCACGTGCCACGCCAACTTGGTCAGGTGACATGCACGTGCCACGCCAACTCGGTCAGGTGACATGCACGTGCCACGCCAACTCGGTCAGGTGACATGCTCATTTTTCAGGGTTGTCGTCATTCTGTGTGACGCAAGAGACAAATGCCATGATGCTTTAGAAAAAGCATTAGGGAAAGCCACGTTTCACCACGGGAATTTCACAGACTCATCCCAAAATGCAGCAAAGCTACTCCAGCGGAAACACACTCAAAACTGATTTAATAATTCATAATGGCCACATTCAAGACAACTCCGAGATCCAGCAACCACATAAACACACATGAAATGTGGCAAAAATGCCAAAGACATGAAAACCCTCGAACTCGTCTCTCAGGGCTGGGCTGGGAGCCTGAGCTCTGTGACTTGAGCAGAAAAGGACACTCCTGGCTGAACAGGGTCCTTTGGGTGCCTGGACTGTATCAGCATCTAAGTCACGGCAAGGGGGGCCTGCTGTCCCCGCAGGGGCACGTGCAGCTCACAGAAACACTGACAAGCAACTGCACTCGGATGTAAATTGAGCAAGAGAGCGTCTGCTTCTTTTAAACACCCACATAACTATCCAATTAAGATCTTGTTATTTAAAACATCCACATGTCTCAAATATAAAATGCTTTCTCTTTATAGTTCATGCTATTAAACCCCTCCCTTTAAATTATAATTTAAAAATCAGACACCGCACAACACTTTCCCCCTTTAATATTGATTTATGGTCCCACGTGACAGAGATCGTCAATACTCCTGGGCACCTCGCCGAATATCGTTTATAGTGGAGTTTAATGGAACCCACTGACGTGTTTACGAAAGAGTCCACAAATAAATGTGAATTATGCTCCAGCCCACACACTCTTTTCCTCGGTGCCAATGCGGCTACAAGATGAGAACTGAGCCCGAGTTGGACTCCCGGCGTCCGGGCTTTGCAGCTGGCCCGCTAATGGGCCTCGCAGCTTCTAACCGCGTAATGTGCCTCTGGAAGGCGGAGGGGCTCACGGAAGCCATTACGAAAATGAGGAGGAACACAGATTTTATGAGTGTAATAAAAACACAATGATCGTGACCATAAACTAATCACCCAGTGTTCTGCCGAGCCACCCAAGTGTGACATCAGGAAGCCCCCTCGCTCAGGGACGCTTCCGGGTGGGCTGCGCGCCCATTCAGGGGTCCCCGGCTCTCTGAAGATCTGGGTGAGATTAAATCCAAATGAAACTAATTGAAGCAAACAGTTCCAAAGGCACTCCTGGGGGTAATATCTCTTTGTAGGTCACCGCATGTAAGGCAGAGAGGGGAATTTACTAACTGAGACACACAGGCAGCTGGCCTGGGCGCCCGCGTTGGCGCCAGCACCTGTCTGGGGCCTGGGCACGAGGACAACGGCCTGCCCAGCCTTCTACCTTCACCCCCGGGCCTGGCTGGCTATCAGCAAACACCGGAACGTGGATTTTGGTGGGTATGCAGTGTGCCTGTGAAAATCCCAGGTAAGTAAGGTTCCATCTCTTTTCTTTTTAAAAAATATTTTTAAAAAATTGATTTTAGAGAGAGAGGAAGGGAGAGGGAGAGAGAAACATTGGAGAGAGAGAGAAACATTGATTGGCTGCCTCCTGCACGCCCCCTACTGGGGACTGAGCCTGAAACCCAGGCATGTGCCCTGAACCGGAACCAAACCAGCGACCTCCCGGTGCAGGGACATTGCTCAACTCACTGAGCCACACTGGCGGGACAAGGCTCCGTTTCTGACCAGGCAGCTGTTTTGGTATTTTGGTCCACGTGGCTTGGCTTCTGCAGGGTGGTGCCAACACTAGGAGGCGCTGTTGTTGCAACAAATCTCCAAGAGATCCAAGTCCCTCTCTCCCAGGAAGCGACTATCAGCCCAGAGGCCCTGCCCGATCTCGGTGGAGTCACTGGGATGGGCAGCTTCCCACATGGAGCACCAGAGGTGGCCCGGTCAGGGCACGTACCTGGGTTGCAGGTTTGACCCCCCACCCCGGTCAGTGCCCATGCGGAGGCAATCAGTCAATGCGTCTCTCTCCCATCGATGTTTCTCTCTCCCTCCCCCCTTCCATTCTCTAAAAATCAGTGGAAAAAATATCCTTGGGTGAGGGTTACCAACACAAAATGTAAGGAGTCAGCTCATGCGCCTGTGAACACTTGCATGTCACTCCTGTGAACTCGCCACTGTCGCCCACTGAAACTGAGTGGCCTTAGACTGAAGATGAAAAAGCGACAGTGCCTGCACCCCCTCTTGCAGGGGAGACCCCTCCAGCCTACTCTCACAGAGCCCAGGGGGACATCACTCCGTCAGTCTTTCAGGCTCTGGTCCTGTTTCTGTCACGGAGTCACAGGTTCTGTGTCAAACTTTGGGGCTGGTCACTAACTCAGTGAAGGGCAGGGATTTTCGTTCCATCTTCTGTGGGTGACTCAGACACCCCTGCCTAACCAGGGTAAATAAAAACATTTGTGTAAATTAAAACATTTTAGTAAATGGGTGTCACCGTGGGCTCCCTTCAGAGGCAGGACTCGGTGACTGCAGGGGTGCTGACTTGGAGGCTGGTGCCCAGAGCAAGAGAAAATGCTCAGACCAGGCCTGAGCCCAACTCGTCAAACAGCCAGGATCTGAGACACACAAACAGCAGCCACAGGCTCGGGAACGTCTCCCACCGGCTGTAACATTTTCACCCAAGTATTTGTACAAGAGGGCCCCTGGACCCCAGGGAGAGTTGTCGCTTAGAATCACTAAAAAAGTGTCTTTAAAGCATTAAATCTCTTGGAGGAATTTTTTTTATACTCAAGTTTTAAAAAATGGATTGATCATAAAAATATTAAAGGCCTCCTCTAAATTCTGGAATCACATAAGATTTGATAAAACCTGTGAACAAGTTAGAATTGGCTTAATTGAACCCACAATATTATTCATGATCAATGGAAGATCTTATTTTCAGAAAAATAAACGAGTTAAAAATGATTCACCTGCCAGAAGTCAGCCACGGTGGCCGGCAGTGGTCCTTGGGTGGCGATATAGGCAGGGTTCCGGGGGTCGTGATCCATCTGTGGAGACCAGATTCACAAAGGTTAGCTCAGAAAAGGGTCCGAACGAGGAAGGGAAACATCGGTGAAGGGGGGATGAGGGGGCACATCCCGCACGCAAGGCCACGTGACCACGCCTATGTGCCGGCTGCTCCCCGACTGCCCCTCCCTGACCCAAACAGCAGAGCCATAGAGCCTGGGTGTCACGTCTGAGTGCCTTTCTCACACCTGACATGCAGGTAATGGGAGCAGCATCAGAGGTGAGGCCCAGTCAGCCAAAGACCAGACGCCAATAAATGAACCACGACATGGGTGGGGCCAGCCAGGGCAATGTTTCCATGGATGCTCGTGATCCCAGAGCAGGTCAGCACGAGCAGGGCGATCGGCTTCCATGCCACCACAGGCCACGTGGAGGGTCAGGGTTCAAATAACCAGCCTGGCTGTCATACCTACAGGCGCTGGGCTGGCGAGAGGAGAGCCTCGTTCCTGGCAGAGGAGGGCAGGGTCACCCGGACCCATCTCTGGTCCGGGAAGCACTCATGAACAGCCGGCTGCTTCCACCTCCAGGAAGCATTAACACGCCCATGTGGGCACTTGTTTTTGTTACCGCGAAGGGCTTGGGCACAGCCAAGTCCTGGGGTCTGAAGCTCTGAGTGGCAGGCACATCCTGGGAGAGGGGCCCGGCCTCCCAGCAGCTAATTCCTATCAGACAGGGGACTGAAAACAAAGAGGCACGCAGGCCCCGCTCCCTGGCTCGCAGATCTGTCCGAGGCCGCCTGCGGGCCTCCGTAGGGGAAGCTGTGCTCAAAAGGCCTTAATTATCACATTTAATTGAAAGACTGACTAAGCAGAAAAAGAAAGAAAAGACCACGAGAACAAAGCCTGGAGAAGCAAAGAGGATTACACACATTCCCGGGGCTGGCAAAGGGGCAGGCCGTCCCCTCAACGCCACGCCCTGGCCACCCAGAGAGGACGGGGCCACGCAGGCTGGTGTCAGCTACCTGCCCCTGCCTCTACCCTCCTACAGCCCAACGGGGCAACAGAGACACCCCAGAGCCGGAGGAGCCCTGCTCCATGCAGACAGCTGCTCACTGCTGGACCACACCCCCCGAGCCCAGCTCCACCCCGCGATGGAAGCCAGGGTTTCAACGCCCAGGATTAAAGATGCTCTGTTTTTAAAGGTCATGGTTATAAATACGTTTCCCAAACCAGTGAGAAGCTAGAGCGTTTCAACCACAGGTGATTCTATGGGGACACCTGAGGACATCAGATAGTCACTCTGGTGTCACCCTAACACAACTGCCAGGCATTTGGGTTTGATGGGCAACGTGTGAGGCCCACCTCCTTGGGCAGGAACCTGGAGAACTAGGGCATTGCCTGTCAACACTTGCAGAGATGGTGGCTGTCAGCATAAAAGCTCACACCAAGCACCTTATAATTACTCACGCCACAAAGGGAGGGGACGAAAGAACAGATTGGAGTCATTCCAAGGGAACTGCAGTTTGATGCTAGCTGGGGGCTGGGGGCAGGAAGAGGCCTTTTGTGCACCTAATTCAGTGATTTGGAATTAAAACCGGACCTCGTTCTGAAATTCACCACAATACACACAATATAGGTAAAATGGTGTCACTCTTGCTGAAAGCCTTGGTTAAGATGTTTCAGCAGGAAAATGCTGAGCAGGAATGAGTGTTGATTTTCGATGTACGCATGTGTTGGGGGACAGGTTTCCCAACAAGCGCAGTCCCCACCTCCTGCCCAAATGTGCTTCTTTGCCTGAAGCCACTTAGAGAGCAACACAGTTTGAACTGTTAGTATGTTCAAACTAGCATTTAGGTGCTTTCAGAATGAGAAACGTGACTAAAAGTAAAAATTCAAATTGGTTTCAGGAGGGTAATGGAGGCCCCCTATTGTCACATTGTTAACTGTCATGGTGTTTCAGTTATTGTCACCTGCCTGCTGGAGCCCCCAACACCAAAGAGGATGGGACACGCCATCATTCTCCATCCCCCTTGCTGCCACGTGACTGCCACATAGCTGCCACGTGGCCATCACGTGGCTGCCACGTGGAAGGCAGTGAACAGCCTAAGGGTCACAGTGGGGGAATGAGTCCTCAGTTGAACAACAGCCAGGAAGACAAGCACGACGACCGGCTTCCACACACACTCTGTGGGACAGACGACAATTCTGGCAGGAGCGCTGTGTGCGGCAAATGTCAGGCTACGGGACCCGTGCCACGGTTTTGTTCTGTTTTCAGCTGAATAAAAGTAAAGCAAACACTTAACTAAAAGAACAGAAATTTCATTCCATTTGAGATTTCCAAGGCGGGATAAGTGTAATTAGAGGAAATCAAGCAAGTCTTGGTGAACAAGACTTTTCTTAGGACAAATGTGCAGGTGGCTGACAAGCCCCAAATGGTGACGTGTGTCCTTGTCTCCGGCTCCCGGTGGGAAAAGCAGCATCTGCAGCTCTCATGGCCTCTGTGCTTCATCTTCCCCTGCTCTTTTTTGTTATTTTCTGTTTTTTGGTGTGTTTTTTTGGTAGTACACTTTTTATTTGTAAAAATGCCAAGTTCACAAACACAAGCTCTGTGACCCTGGAAGAGGTGAGATTCTGCCTCTGGGCCTCGGTCCCTGTGTCTGTGAGATGGGTGGGAGGGGAGGGGCATGGACAACATGAGGTCTATGTGCCTTTCAATCCCGGATTCCGGGCTTTTTCAGAAAAGGTAAAACCCTCTGCGTGCAACCCACTGTCCACGGGGCTGACCGAGTCTATGAAGGGCCCAGATGAACTAGGCCCCAGCGAGGAGTGTTCCTGTGGATTCCTAAATGCACAGTTTAACCCCCTGTGATCTGCCTTAAGCTGTAGAACCACAACTATTAAATAAGTGAGACTGACTGGTTTTTCCTCCCTTAATAAACTGAGAAGTAAAGAGTAAGGCTATTCTCAGGTGCTGCTGGAGACCCCAGCCTCGTTCCCACAGCGAGGTTGGGCTATTTGGAGCAGGCTCTCATGAATATCGCCCAGCCTCACCCTCAGCGAGCACCCAGCTGGTGGCTCTCCCCGATGCCCCGTGCGGGAACGTAGGGCTCTTGTTCACTTTCTTTTTAAAAAAATGTTTTTATTCGTTTCAGAGAGAGGAAAGGAGAGGCAGAGAGAGATAAAACATCCATGATGAGAGAGTCATGGATCGGCTGCCGCCTGCACGCCCCCGACTGGGGATCGAGCCCACAACCCGGGCATGTGCCCTGACCGGGAATAAAACCGGCAACCTCCTGGTTCATAGGCCAACACTCAACCACTGAGCCACACCAGCCGGGCTCTCCTTCACTTTCCTGACCTCTGATTTAAAAGCAAAGATTGCCCACTATTGCCCACGGGTGACATCCCTGGAATTTAATGAAGACGAAGCACAAATATGACAGGTGTAGTTATCGGTTTCCTCCTGCACAGCCAGGGATCTCTGGGCTCTAACTGTAGGCTTTTCATTCAGCTGCTGCCAGGAAGCTCATTATCACCCGACCTTCTGTTATTTCAGAAGGAAGATGCACCACGGATTTCTTCTATTGTTAACACTCAAATTAAAAAAAAGACTTGTGGTATCAAATAAAGGAGAAAACAAAAACCCCCACCTCTCTCTCTTGGTGTCGCCTTCTGACCCAAGTCCCTGAGCAGAGGCCTGGGGCTGCTCTGAATTTCACAAGAAGCAGCGAGCCTGGGCATGGCACAGAAGTTCGGGGTTCGTGGAGCCCCTGACCTGGACAAACCCTCTGGTGCTGGATGTGTGTGTGCGAAACTGCTGGGCGGTTTCTAAGGACGATGCTGCTTCTGCACCGGGTGGCCTTGTTCACACTGACGCTGGACTTCAGCCCAGGCTCAGACCTGAACTGGGAACCCACAGAATGGGGATGAGGGGGGCTCACCACTCTGACCCCGTGTCTTTCAGACCTGGGTCGATTGCTTTAGTTCTCATGTGGATCGTTCCGGGGACGAGGGGCCAACAGCAGAACGTGACTCCTCTTGCCCCTAGGTGGTCTGGGTTCCATCGCCATGGTCCATCGTGCTGGGACTGGGTCCAGGCAACTACAGACCTGGCCTCCCCGGAAACAATGCTCCCCCATCAAGAGAGGGACAGCAAGTCAGTGAGGCTCTGGCTTGATTGTTTGAATCAGAACTGACCAGAAAATACCAGACACATGGCAGTGCGTTTGAGAAAGACTGAGCGGCCGCAGTGAGACCGTGGGAGCACAAATGGCCGTGGTCTGGAGGCCACCCCTGCTGGAGGAAACAGTTACGGATAATCTTATCACACAGAACCACAAACCGAGGTCCTGGCTCGGCTGGGTGCAGACAAGGCTCAACCGGCCCGTCTTCACTCTGCGCTGTGCTCGCCCAGTGTGCGTGAAAAGTGTCAGGAGCTGGGGTGTGGCCCCCGGCACTCCGAGTCTTAATAATAAGCATTTATACAACAGGGCCTTTGAAATGAGTGGAACCAGCAAAAGTAGTCAACATGGCCAACCGTCTGCAGCTGCTGCCTGAAATCACGTGGCAATGCTCTCATGAGTCAGAGGGGCTGTTAGCACGCAGGTGCCATTCATGAATCCAGAGATGACCCCCGTCCCACCCAAACCTCCGTCCCAGCCTATGAATCACAGCTGGCGCAGCACCCCACACGCACTGTCCCTGACGGAAGGCAAATTGAGATTTTGGGGAGACGTCTGGACCCCTCCCTTGAGACCAACATGGAGAAACATGTCTAAAGCGAGCCCGCCCCAGCCTCCCACCCTCATAACCCAGCCCCTCCTCCCTGCTGCTGGTTTAAATGCCATCAACCAGGCTCTAGTGTCCTCTGCTTGGGTGATTACATCGCCTCTTCCCACAGCTGCAGCCCCTCTCAGCCCCTCCCTGCCTCCAGGTCCAGGACAGGAGGACTGTTGGGGCCGCACACAGAGACGGGGGCAGGACAAGGCCAGGAAGCTGTGGGCTGTGAGGAGCCCCCCAGGAGCTGGGACGGTTTGCTGGTCATGGGGGTCTGACACTGAGGGGTTGAGGGGTTGTGCTGGATCCCTCAGAGACAGGAGGCACCCACCTTTCCCTCACCTGACCTCCACTCCATCTCCCCGAGGGCACAGCTCCCAGTGCCAGGCGCAGCTCTAATGTTTCTATCTCCCCTGAATAAACCAGACACAGCCGGGCCTAGAAAAGGGCAATGCAACCAACTCTGGATTCCCCTTATGGTCACGGGTTCCAGTCGGTGAATCTTTAGGTCACTGGTGGCTGGCACCCTCCCTGTCATCACTTCCAGCCCAGGACACAGCTGCCCGGCTCACTGGGTAAGGCTGGTTGCTGGTTGAGACTAGTAACCCAGTTGAGGCTAGTTACCTGGTTAAGTCTGGTTACTGATTGAAGCTAGTTACCCAGTTGAGACTAGTAATCCAGTTGAGACTAGTTACCTGGTTAAAGCTGGTTACTGGCTGAGGCCAGTTACCTGGTTGAGACTAATTACCCAGGTGAGACTTATCTAGTTAAGGCTGGTTGCTGGTTGAGACTAGTAACCCGGCTGAGACTAGTTACCTGGTTGAGACTAATTACCCAGGTAATACTTATCTGGTTAAGGCTGGTTGCTGGTTGAGACTAGTAACCTGGCTGAGACTACTTACCTGGGTAAGCCTCAACCAGTAGGTTGAGACTAGTTACTTGGTTGATACTAGTAATCCAGCTGAGACTAGTTACCTGGTTAAGGCAGGTTACTGGTTGAGGCTAGCTATCCAGTTGAAGCTAGTAAACTCCTAGAGACATGCTACCTGCTTAAAGTTGCGTACCTGGTAGAGACTAGTTACTTGGTTAAGGCTGGCTACTGGCTGAGACTAGTTACTCAGCTGAGACTAGTTACTAGCTGTGTACTGGGAATAGGGCAGGGCCTGTTTCGCCCTGAAAACCTCACGTGGTTCGCCCATGGTGGTGCCCTGGGAAAGGCTGGTGGCCTCCACAGAGACAGGTACTTACAATGGGGCTGGCATTGATGTAGTCCGAGTTGCTGTGGCTGTTTTCTGACTTCAGCAGGATCCTGGAGTGGTCATCTGCAACAAGCCCGGAGCAGAGAGTCAGGTCTGCACAGCTCGCACAGCCGAGGAGTGTGTGTGTGGAATGATGGCTGTAAGTGCCCTGTGGCTGCCCGCCGCCACTCAGCGTCCCCCTCGGAGGCTGCCAGCCCTCCCAAAGTTTGATGAATGTGACCTTTCCTCTCTCCCCCCCCATTTATGGTCGGTCACCATAAGAAGAGGAGATTCTGGCTGTGTGGGGACATGATGCTAAGTCCCATTCGGTACAACCTGGACAGGCTCCTGTTTTTCTGTGTGAAATTCATATACCAAGGTTAGGTATCCTCAGCAACGTTTTGACATAGTGTCTGCCTTTAAACATATTTGGCAACATATAGTAAATAAATATCAACACACACTATTAGGCCACCATTCAATATATAACGTTTTGTTGTCTACAGACAGCTAAATCCTTGAGGTTACAGAATTTCATTTTAAAAGGCGATTAAGAGAAAAAGAAAATGCAGATAGAGGGAACAGAGGAGAGATGTACAGAGGAGAGAGATGCCTCTCTGACACAAAAAATGTCCTTAAACAGGCAAAATATTGTGACTAATGTTGAAACCAGAACATCCACGGGGATCGAGGTCATGTAACTTGCCAAACACATTTGATACACGAGTTTTTCTTAACTTTGGTCAGGAACAACCACCCCGCTGCACACAGTGAAATCCCTGTTTGCCTGTTTTCAGGAACTTTCAAAGCGGGACCTCGTGGGAGTGGAGGATGGATCATGGGGGGCAGGGCGGGTCACCCATGGAGCACCCCTTCTCTGTCCAGCCTCCCTGGCTCTGCAGCCCCATCTCTCTCTCCTCTACAGGTGCAGTTGGGAACAGAGATTCACGGGGCTCAAGGAGCACTCGGCTCTGCAACCTTGCGTTTCCGTGACTGCCTGCTGGAGGTACACACGCACCTGCCTCTTCTCTGAGAAGGTAATGACCACCTGGCTGGAGCCTGGGAAGCCGGGGTCTTCGGCGAGTGAGAGGGTTTCACCCCTCGTCCCACTTCTCTGCACTCAGACAGGGTCTCCCGGCGGAATGGCTGCTGACCCTGCGAGCAGCTTGGGCGGGGGTTGGGGAGGCCACGGACGCTGCTGTGGTCTGTTTCTTTCATCCCTCTAGGAGATTTTACTTAATTTTTTCACAATTCTGGATCCTGGGACATGGGTGAGTCCTATAGCTGGTTGAACTTGGGAAGTACGTCTACCAGACCGGATGCTGTCCTGTTGGTCTTACTAAGATCTCAGTGTTGGCTCTTCCCGGGAGAGACAAGACAGGTAAGGAACGCCCAGAGTCTGGGACGAGTTCACACTGCATGGTGTTCACTGACGCGTCTGCTGCATGTACCCAGGTGTGGCGTGAGTGGTCTGCAGAATTTACGGTGGTGGCTGACAAACCACCCACTAAAGTAGGAAAAAGGGTGCAAAAACCCGGCGGGTGCAATGGCTTTGGGCTCTTGCACAAGTTTATTGTTGAGAGTGTGAAAATGGGCAGTGGCAGGAGATCAAAATAAAATTTACCAGGAAAATCGGTCAACTTTGACACCTGCCATGTTATAAACACAACCTTGGAGGTAAGTTCAAGCGAACACATCAGGCCTGCGGGGACAGTCGCTCAGAAGCAGATGCACTTTCCTGCAAGGCCCGTGGTCCCAGCCTGGGCAGAATTCCAGCAGCTTCTGGAGGGTCGCAGGGGCTTCCCAGGAGCCCGATGGGGGCTTCTCACGCTTCGGAGCTCTGCTCCCTTCCAATCGCAGACTGGATTTCATGGCAACATGTTGATTTTAAAATGAACAGTGAACTTACTTAGTTATTGATATCAGGCCACGTTGAACCTACGTTTGAATCACCTGGAGCCGCCCCNAACATGTTGATTTTAAAATGAACAGTGAACTTACTTAGTTATTGATATCAGGCCACGTTGAACCTACGTTTGAATCACCTGGAACCGCCCCCACTCACTGCCAGTGGCCAGAGTAGAGCGGAGGCTGGATGCACTCGGCAGGGGCAGTCTGTGGACATTCCACTCAGCTGAGCAAGTTTCTGAGCTGTTCTGTGGTTCACTCTTCCTGTTCACGGTTCTTGAAGAGATGTCACTAGAGTCGGCGTGATGACGTTGGGTTCTGACAGTGGCTGCCGGTGTCCTTGGTGATATGGGGGTGGGAGGGCAGCCCGGCAGGATCGCTGTGACTCACTCAGGGTCAAAAGGCGAGCTGGAGGTGGAGCGGGCTCATCCCCTCTGTCCTGTGCCCCACGGACTGGATACTGTTCCTTCCTAATCCCAGGGAGCGCACACACCTGCCCCGGGAGCAAATACAACACAGGGGCCCCAGCCACGAGTGAGGGTTCATAACCACTGGGCACTTACGGTTCCATTAGGAAGTGGGCGTGTTCGTCAAGGGCTTAGTCCGACCTCACGCGGAGGCCAAGCAACGTGGAAATTCAGGCAGTGTCTTCCTGGCCCTACAACTCAGTTATTTTCCTCTAACAAGATCCGCAGTAGCTATTGTCTTTTTAAAGAATGCTTTTATCTCCTATAACCGTTACGTCATATTTAAGTGTTTAATAACCTGTTCCAAACAAGAGGTGCAACGCCCTGCTTCTGTCATTTGTCACCTTACTCACAGTTCTGGATCCTTTTGTCTTTTTGTTTCAGGGGGAAGAGCTCCTTTCAGCATTTCTTGTGATGCAGGCCTTGTGGTGGGGACACCCCCGGCTTCTGTATGATCCGGTGTTATTAACCAACGTCACCCCAGTAACTTTAAAGAGATCAGCGGTCCTCAGTTTTGTCAAGGAGGGAAAGAGGACACCTTTCAAGAAGAACCTGGAGTCCTGGCTGGTGTGGCTCAGTGGGTTGGGCACTGTCGTGTGAACCGAGAGGTGGCCGGTTCAATTTCCCATCAGAGCACATGCCCAGGCTGCGGGTTCGATCCCCAGTAGGGGGCGTGCAGGAGGCAGCGGATCCATGACTCTCTCTCCCTCTCCCTTCCTTTCTCTCTAATATCAATAAAAACATATTCTTAAAAAAACCCAAACACACTTGAATGAACCGAAGCATTCTTCCTGCACCACTGCCTGGTCCAAGAATATCTCTAGTTTCTCTAGCATTCTGTCCGTTCTAAGAATAATTCACATATATCATCTGCCTTCTTCCTGCAACACTGTGCCACAGATGGAGCAGGAANCATTCTGTCCGTTCTAAGAATAATTCACATATATCATCTGCCTTCTTCCTGCAACACTGTGCCACAGATGGAACAGGAACTAGTCCCCCATTTTAGGTTGAAAAAAACACCAACGAAGGCCCAGAAAGGCTACGAATGACTTGGCAAAAGCCACGTGGCCAGCAGCTAAGAGTCCAGGTTGGAATCCCACCCCCCTGCCTGCTAACCAGGTGATGTCTGGGTCAATTATTCAATACCTTAAAGTGTCAGAGTTGTCATCCAGAGTGTAGGATAATGGTGTCTAACTCCCAGGGTTGTCGTGATAAATGGCATATATAAAGCTCACTGTCATCACGGAGCAAGGGATTTAGGGACAAGGTCAGGATTATAGGTAAATACCTACCTAACCGATTAAAAGGCAGTTGAGTTGACAAGACTTATTTGGGACACACGGTATTGTCAGTAAACAGAAGATGATTTTCCTAAATGCCAACGGAAGAAACTTTGAGATTATTATGAGGGCAAAGAGCCCTGGAAGGCAGACGAGCGAGGGTCCTTTGGAGGCCACTGCGGCTTGGTCATTAATGGATCTAGGCCAGCACCAGCCATCGTCTAGAACCGTCCCACATCCCACCTGAGTTCACCCACGGAAAGTGAGCAAAGGCTGCCTTTGAGGCTAATATCACGGATCTCTACGGACGGTGTTTTCAACGTAACTGGTCGTGNTCTCTACGGACGGTGTTTCCAACGTAACTGGTCGTGTGGCTCCCACTGACTAAGTGGATGATACATGTGGGCCTGTCATCTTCATCTTCATGAAGACCTGGTGATGCTGGTGGCATCAGGCGTCTGTGGCGTCACTGGTCGTCCAAGTGGTCTGCCAAGAGCTCCTTTAGGGCTTTCCCGCTGCCTCCATTTTCTTTCTTCTTTCTCTCTTTTTTGTTGTTAATCCTGACCCAAGGCTATTTTTCCACTGATTTTTAGAGAGAGTGGAAGTGAGGGGGGGGAGGGAGGAGAGAGACATCGATGTGAGAGACACATTGATTGGTTGCCTCCTGCACGCACCCGACCAGGGCCAGGGATTGAACCTGCAACCCAGGTGTGTGCCCTTGACCAGGAATTGAACCCACAACCCTCAGTGTTCTGCAGGGTCAGGGCTCGGAGCCTTTCCTGGAGGCCTGTGTCCTGGGACCAGCTCAATGACACCAGTGACCACGTTTCACGGTCCATAGACGGTTTCTGCCCTGCAAAAACGTAACCTGAAGCTCTCCACCACGGTCAGTCTCCGACTGTGCAGGGCGGTCTAAGGATTCCAGCCCATTACACACAGAAATGTCTTCAATGATCTGGGCTTGTATTGGGACAGAGCGATGCTTTTTTATATCATGTTTGTTTTGGGACTTTGAGAGCTAAAGGGACGTCATTTTACTTGCAGACCTGGGGGCCTGAAGGCAGCAGTGTGCTCTGAGGGGGGCGTCCCCTTTGGAGAGAAGGCTTCCCTCTCCCGCTTCCCCCCAGCNGCTCCGAGGGGGGTGTCCCCTTTGCAGAGAAGGCTTCTCTCTCCTGCTTCACCCCAGTGCCCCTTCCTCGGGGTGAGAGAGCAGATGTTCTGCCCTTTGCAAAGCTTTTGGGAAGCTCTTGGCTCAAACTATAAAGATCATCAAACACTTAAGAAGAGAAGCAATAGGGTTCCATCCACCATCTCCTCGGGTCAGAACCAGGCTGCACTTGGGCAAACTGGGGGGGCTGAGGTCCTGGATTCGGAGCACCCCAGACATCTGAAGATGGTGAGAAAACGAGACCAGCCCTAGTCCCTGCCCAGGAAGCTGGCCGCCTGCGGAAAGCCATCGATGCGAGAATGCAACGCTGACTAGCTGCTTCCTGGGGATTCAGCCTGCAACCCGGGCACAGCCCTTGCCCGGGAATCAAACCGGTGACCTCCTGCTGCACATGATGCCCAGCCACTGAGCAACACCAGCCAGGGTGTGTCTCATTTCTCAACTAGTTTCACCAGCACCTCTGCAGATCTCTCAAAAAGAAATCCCACAATAGGACTGACGACGCGCTCGGCAGGCGCGAGGCCGTGTAGGTGGATTACAAGGGCCCAGGCTCCAAGCTGCTCTAACCGCACACTCACCTCACGGCTGTGCGACTGGGCTCCGGGCACAGCCTGTGGGCTGAGCAGTGTGCGCGTGGGAACCTGCTGCAAAGGGTTGGGGGCTGTGGCCTGGCACCGCCCGCTGGCCACTGAGCTCTGCAGAGGCACCTGGTGTCAAAGGGTGAATTGTGCCCCCGCAAGAAGGTCTGTTGGGATCCTAACCAGGGCGCTTCTTCAGTCANGAGCTCTGCAGAGGCACCTGGTGTCAAAGGGTGAATTGTGCCCCCGCAAGAAGGTCTGTTGGGATCCTAACCAGGGCACTTCTTCAGTCAGAAACAAACATTCTCCTGATCGGTTTCTCACAGTCGTGGCAGAAACGACGGTGTGTGAACGTCCCAGGGACATGGCTGTGACCTTCTAGCTGTGGTCTCGCCCTCAGTGTAGGAAGGTCCCGTGGCCGCTGCTTAAACACCACAGATGTGCCGTGAGTGCTGTAGTTCAGAGTCTGAAACAGGTCTTAGCCCAGGTGCAGCCACGTGAAGCCCTGGTGCTCGCGGCAGCCACCAGGATGTTCCCTCCAGCTCCAGGTCAGAGGCCCGCGTTTATCCTGTTGGGTGTTTTTTATCAACGACTGGAAGATGCTGAAATGTGTTTATAAAATGTGCCGATGGATGGCACTGAGGGTGGAACTGGGAACCAGGAATGAAAACCTTCCTGATAGTCACAAGGACCAGTCATGACCGGACCAGGCAGCAAGTTCTGTCGAAGCCGGGTGGGGGCGTCTGGTCTACCCTCGGTCCTCACGGAAGACCCCGAGCTCAGGGGGCCAGCCTGTGAGTGTAAACTCACCCCGAGGGGTGAGAAGGCCCCGGCGAGGAGGAAACACCGCCGCCTGAGGGCTGCGTCCACTGCCCGGGCCTGTCCAGTGAGGCTGGTCCTGTCTGCACACTCCCAGGTTCCACAGGTGACTCTGGGACACCCGTGGTGAGGAGGACAACTGGGCAGCGCGAGGCCAGACATCCCGTGAGTCTCTCGGTCCAGCCTCAGGAAGAACCTGAACTCCTGGGGGCTCAGAGGCGAGATAGCGACGTGGCGTCCACCCCGAGCATCGGCCACCTTGCATCTTGGACACACCGTGGCTCCCGGTGGTGCAGGTGCCACCACAGTTCATGGCTCCAGGCGCAGGTGCTCTTCCCCCTCGGGGCCTACGAGGAGGACTCTGCTTCTCGGGCAGTTTTTGCCGCTTTCTTTAGGAAGAAAACCCTTCTGTCTCAGCAGTTCAGCCACGCAGGGCGGCTTTGGTCGGCGATGCAGCAGAGAGAAAAGTCCCCATGGAACCTGCTGGTATGTCCTGCACCGACAGGCCAGCAGCCGTCCCAGACCCTGCAGCAGACTCAGCTGAGGCCAAAGAGGGGGTGGCCCTGGACAGTGTTTCTCAATGGTTAGAGTATCAGCCTGAGCACTGAGGGGTCTTGGGTTCGATTCCTGGTCAAGGGCACGCACCTGGGTTGCAGGCTCCATCCCCAGCCCCAGTCAGGGTGTGTGCAGGAGGAAACCAATGGATGTGTCTCTCTCACATTCATGTTTCTCTCTCTCCCCCTTCCACTCTCTAAAAAAATCAATGGAAGAAATATCCTCAGGTGAGCATTATCAACAAAACAGGAGGTGAAAACAGCCAGCCAGGGACGTACCTCTCCTGGGAGGTGAGAGGAGAAAACCCCTCTCACCTGTGAGACGTAGGACTTTCCAGGGCACGGTCTCTGTTGGCACAAGCTGTGGTCCCTCAGAAGTGACTAAACCGGAGAGTCCTGCACGGGGATCCTGCTCAGAGTTTGGGAAGAATTTAAGCCAAAGGCTTGTTTGGGAAGAAATTATGTTCTGGGTTTGAGCAGAGCTGTGCTCAGCCACCCGCTGCATCCTGTGTGTGTCTCAGTCACCTGTGCAGCTGGAAGGTTCCCACCAGGAAAGCCTCTGGGTGAGTCGCTAAAGGCCCTGGAGGCAGCGCCCCATCAGCACAGAGGACCCGGGTTTAACTCCTGATGCCCTCGCCTGTCAATTAGAGGGGTGACCCCACACAGGGGCGGCCCGGGAGGTACAGCTGAGGGTCACGTGGGGGACGCTGGTGGCACACGATACGTTCGGTCCTGGTGGCTGGCTGGTCACCTGAAGCCTGGTGCCACCAGGTCCTGTGGGCTCTCCCCTGGCCGGGGCTGCAGGGGGGCAGCCAACAGCCGTGCCTGGGCCCGAACCTGAGCGGTCATCTCGTCCTCACGTGTCTGGGTCCTTCGCTTTTCAGTCCCTCTGTCTCATCTGTGAGAATTTCTGCGTCTTTGTCTATTTCTCTCTCATTATAACACAGAACCCAACATTTTTTGTTTGAGATGATTCACCACTCTTGAGTTTCCTGACGCTGAGAATCCTCTGGCCTTGTCCCAGGAAGAAAGTGTCTTTTGTTGGTGGCTCCTGCTCGGGTCAGAGGGGCTGTCACGGGAACTGGCCCTGTCCCTGCGTGGCTGAGGACAGGACACACTGCTGTCCCCGAGGTCCTGGCTGTGGACCCACCGATGACACGGCAGGCAGAGCCCAGCGCCCAGCCCGGCCGTGGAGCACGTGGGCCGTGAGCACGTGGAAGGGACGCCCCTCCCCACCTGCTGTGCTCTGGTTTCCACGTGGGAGGGGGAGCTCGGGGAGAGGCTCCGACTGTTCACATTTACCACACGAGACCCGATGTTCCAAGGAGGCAACCCAGCCCACGGGAGACCTGCCACGTGAGCTACTGGGGTCGGCCTGCTCCAACCAGCCTCCTCTCCCTGTCCCCCTCTAGGTCAAAGGCATCATTTGATTCACTGGGTGTCTCTGTCAGGAGTCCTTGGTGCACAGTAGGTGCTTAATAAATGTTAGTTGGTCCAATGGACTCATTTTTTGTGTGTTTTTTCTCTGGCAGTGATTTCTGGCCGGACAGCTGGTCGTCAGTGACACTTGCTGAAATAACTGTGAGGCTGGAGACCGCTGCCGTAGTGACCACTATGCACCCCGTGGCCACAGGGTGCCGGCGCCCACGCTAATGCCCTCCGGCCCTCGCAGCTGTGACGCTGCCAGGGTGACGGGAGGACCCCTTCCACAGACGAAGGAGAGGCTCAGAGAGGTGAAGCAACAAGTCTCAAGTCGCACAGCGAGAGCCGACGGAGCCAGCACGCGGGGGCACCTGTCCTGACCCCAAAGGAAGGCACAGATCCTGTGTTTTTAGGGGGGGGCCTCACAGGGGGCCGTCCGCACTGGGCTTCGCAGTGGGAGGACAGGTCGCTGCAGCGAGGGGCGGGGTGAGGATGGGAGCCAGAAAACAATGAGGGCGGGGCACAGCCTGCCCCCCGCCACGCCCCCCGGGTACCTACAGGTCAGCACGGCTGGGCTGCGGTTCTTGGGCGTGTTCTCCTCCCTCTGGGCCACGAGCGCGGCGTTGGGCTCCGCCTGGTAGGCACACAGCGCCTCCCACTCCTTCTCCAGCCGGTTCCTGTTCTTCAGGTGGTCCTCCATGTAGGCCTGCAAGGGAGACAGAGTCGGGCGTCCGCAGCAGCCGGCCCCCGGCGGGGCCCGGGTACCTGGTGGCAGGTGCGGGCGGAGCCCACGTTCCACCTGCCCGCGAGTCAGGGAGCCGGTTCCCCCAGGTCTGCCCAGATGAACACACTCCCCAGACTCACGAAACACGCAGACGCTTTGCTCAGACTCTGTCGGGGGGGCCAAAGGTGTCCGTCCCCCGTTCACGACGGTGCTGGTGCTGAGGCTGGGCCGAGAGGACACGCAGACCACGATGGCACCTCCTCGGCTACTACGATGTGAAGGGGGAACGGACATGCCCACAGCAGACCAGGTTTGATTAGCCACCGAAAACTGGATGGAAAACGTGCCCAGCCAGGAGCAAGCGAGTGGGGCGCAGGCTTCGGGGAGGTTCGCTGCATGTACTTGGAGGGGTGACAGGGTTTACGCAGGCCGGGAGGACAGGCGAGGGTGCAGGGGTGTCTTGGAGGGGACGTCAGGCACTCAGGGCGTGGGGCTCACTCTGGCTGGGGTGTCGGGCGTTTGGGAGCAGGGCCTGAGCTTGGGAACAGGGGAGGCTGCTTTGTGGCAGATACAGTCACACAAACAGCTAATGTCACGTGCGGGGGACACAGAGGCGGTGGGTGGGTTAAAGAAATAGGGCTGAACGAAGCCGCTAATGGAAACACCTTAGTAAATAGTGTTTGGCACTGGAAGCCCTTTCCTTTTTCTCAGAGAACCACTAGTTACAAACAGATACTATGTTGCAACGATCGTTTGAAATTATTCCACTGCAAGCATACAACACACTGTTTTAAACTACTTCATGTATCCAGTCGGAACCAAGCGGAGACAGTTAATTCACAAAGCCCCGCAGGTCGGGAGTGGGGATCGCACAAGACCGTCCAGAGCTCGGCAGAGCATTGAGGGGGCGGCTGGACGGGCCAGGAGAGAGCCCCGGCCGGGGAAGGCACGTCACCCTGTCAGACAGACGGCTGTTACTAATTTTTGTTGTTGATTTTTAGAGAGAGAGGAAGGGAGAGGGAGAGAAAAACTATCAGTCGGCTGCCGCCTGCGTGCCCCCGACTGGGGATCGAGCCCACAACCGGGCACGTGCCCTGACCAGGAGCTGAACTGCGATCTCTGGATGGCAGGTTGATGCTCAACCACTGAGCCACGCCGGTTGGTGCCAATGGCTTTTATTTAATAAAGAGATGCCATTTCCTGGGGCGCATGCTAACAGAGGAAATGGGGACACCACAGCCCTGGTCCTAATATCCCCCACCCCCAGATATTAGGTAGGTGTTCGTCACGTCTTATATGTTAACTCCAGGGCCCGAGTGCTGACTATCTCTGGAACGGCCGTCCCTCGTTCCCGCCTCTGTTTGCACAGATGTCAGTTGCCCTGTAATTGGCCTGCTTTTCCGAATCCTCTGGGTGTGATGTATTTGAGACACCGAGCTGCTCGCTGTGTGCAAAATATTAAACAGTGGGTGGTGTTAACAACAAACAGAGGCAAAAACAACAGAACCAACCATGTTGACCCTCCTGCTCCGCTGAGGGCACCCGGCATCCCCAGCAGCCCAGAAGGCAACAGGGCTCGAGTCCGAGATGCCGGCTTCATCTCACACGTGTGCAGCCCGCTTGCTGCAGGTCACCTCTGGCACCTTCCTGGTTCCTTCACCGGGCGGCCAGGTAACCAGTTCTGGTTAAAAATACCACCCATTTCTGGAACCACCCTCAGTGCCTAGGTGAGCCCCGGCCTTTGTCCAGATGTCCTGTTGCTAACCTCCGACTGTCCCAGTAACTTTCCCCCCATCACCACCCTCTGGCCTGTTCATGCTGATCCTCCTGCGCGAGCCCATCCAGACTTCAGGGTCAGTGCCAGTGCACCTCCTCTCGAGACACGCCTGTCACCAACCTGTTAGATCTCCACCTGTTTTATTTTTTTATTTTATTTTATTTTATTTTATTTTATTTTATTTTATTTTATTTTTGTTAATCCTCACACCTGAGGATATTTTTTCTATTGATTTTTTTAGAGAGAGTGGAAGGGGGGAAACATCGATGTGAGAGAGACGCATCGATTGGTTGCCTCCTGCACGCACCCCAACCAGGGCCGGGGATGGAACCTGCCACCCAGGTACGTGCCCTTGACCAGGAATCGAACCCACGACCCTTCAGTGCGTGGGCCGATGCTCTAACCACTGAGCCATGCCATCCGCCGTCCAGGGCCATGTTCATACTTGTGAGGCCCAGCAGGGGAGTTGTGCCCCCGCTGATTCCAGACGAGTCCTGAGTGGGAAGGGTCTACACCTTGAATTCTGGTCCCTTCCAAGGACCTGGGCTCACTGCGCTCGCAGGAAGGATCATCCTCGGCTCAAAATGTTTGCGGGGGGCGGGGGGAAGGCCCAAGGTTTCTGAATTAGAAACCAACACACACTCTGCCCTCAGATCGAGCGGCATTATCTTCTACAACAGCCGAGACGCACTTGAATTTCTTTGAGGCTTTTTTTGCCCCTTGAGAATAATATCAGCTTTCATCGGCCCCATTTATGAAATATTAACCCAACCCAAACACTTCCTCCCTCCAGCCCCCCATCTCCCGCCTTCTTTTTCTAGCCCACACGATCGGACCATTTGGGCAGAAAACCTATGAGGACTGGATGCCTCGGGATGACTCTTCAGGAAACAGTCCCCGTGTGTCACACACACGTCATTTCACACAGCGTCCCAGGCCCTTGGAACAAAAGTGTCATTGCCTTTCCAAGACGGAGACGAACCCACGATGCGTTGATTTGGCCTCAATATTTTCTGATTGGAGTGTCAACCCCCTGAGGACAGGAAAGCGGTTGCCAGGAAAACGGAGCATTTGGGACGCTCTGGAGCATAACAGGGTTTTGTTAATAATCACAAGAACACATTGTATCTTCTGGATAATGTTACACTATTCACAGGCCTTTATGGTGCCTGGAGGAGCAACTCTAATAAAGTGGAGATGGCACTGGGCTTGATCCAAAAGACTTAACTCAATAAACAAAAGGGCTGGGTCCCCTCATGGCTATTTCTCCACCATGAACCTGCGGGAAACCATCCAGCCTCACCGAACCTTTATTTACGGCTTCGTAAAATGGGAATCGGCCCTGGCTGGTGTTGCTCAGTGGTTTGAACACCGGCCCTCGGACTGAAGGGTCGTGGATTCGATTCCTGGCCAAGGGCACGTACCTGGGTGGCAGGTTCGAATCCCCAGCAAGTGGGGGGCGAGCGCGGGAGGCAACCGATGGATGTGTCTCTCCCACATCGGTGTTTCCCTTTCTCTCTCCCTCCCTCCCTTCCACTCTCTCTAAAAATAAATAAATGGGAAGAAAACACCCTCGAGTGAGGACCAGCCAAAATAAAGAAATAAATCATGGGTCGCGTAGGTATTCGTGAAGCTGGCTGACAGCGGTGACTCAGGACGCGTTTTTCATAAATGCAAAGTACCCACGCGGGAGGGGCGGTGGTCACGGCAGGTCTCAGCTTCTCACTGATGAGGAGGAACCGACACTCTCTCCCGGGTCCTGGCTGCACTACAGTCCTGGGGACGTTCCCCCCGACTGGGGAACGTGGCACATTAAGTCCCCACAGACACGCGCCACTGGCCGCGGTGTGGACGCGGAACTTAAGGGGCGACGGCAGGAGTGCCCTCGCTGTGGAGGCTCCTCCGCCAGACGGCACCGGGTGACAGCATCGGTCATCCCGTGAGGGGCGCAGGAACCAGCGACACCGTGAGGCCCGTGGTTTCCGGGCTGCTGGTCTCTGCCCCAGGCTCCGTCGCCTCCCTGTGCGGGTGAAGCCAACACGTGAGCGCGTGGCTGAGCCGAGCGGGCTCGACGGCCCTCCGTGGAACCAGGGGTGGTTCTGGAACATCTCCACGCTCTCCGCTTATTTATTGTGTTTATTACTGTTTGGAGGGGGAAGTATTTCAGACCAGTCTTGAGACGAGGAATTCCTGGGAGATGCTGGTGTAAGACACGACGTGGGAGCGAGCTCCTGACGGCCCCCAAGGTCACGCCGTAACCAAGACTGTCCTGGGCACCGTTTATAGTGTCAACACTGAAGGTCGGCTTCCAGGGTCACTAAGGAAGTAACCCCACTTGTTAGTCCCACACCGGGCCACCCTTGGGTGCCAGCAGGGAGGGAGGGAGGGGAGAGGAGAGAGAAGCATTGGTGAGAGAGACACATCGATTGGTTGCCTCCTGCACTTGCCCCGACTGGGCCGAGATCAAACCTGCAACCCAGATACGTGCCCTTGTCTGGGAATTGAACCCACAACCCTTGGGCCAAACTCTAACCATTGAGCAAACTGGCCAGGGCTGGATTCCGCCTCTAATTTTGGAAGAGTTAAGAGTTGCACATAATCTCAGATTCCTGTTCAAGTGTTGGTTTTAGTTATTTATTCACTCATTCGACTAATTTTATTAAGTATATCGTATGTGTCAGGGGCTGTGGTGTGTTCCTGCTGAAAGACTCGACCCTCCTGGGGCTGGTTTCTTTATCTGAGAACAGACAACATACAAGCTAAATAAGCCTAATTGAGAAAGACAACGTCAGATAGCAGGATCCATGAGAAAGCTTAGACAGTGATAAAAACGGGACTGGGGGCGAGAGCTGATTCCTGAGCTCATCTGGAAAGATGGGGAGGGACTCATAACACAGAGGACTGTCGGGGGGCTGCAGGGGGCCGGGAGAGCAGGGGCAAGGGCCCCAGGTTAGGAAGGGACCCTACACATTCCAGAAACAGGCAGCCAGGCCGATGGAGCAAAAGGAGCTTGTCAGACAGGGGAGAAGTGTGAAGTTTTTTAAAAAAATTAAATCATTGGGCCCTGGCCGGTGCGGCTCAGTGGTTAGAGCATCGGCCTGAGCACAGAAGGGTCTCAGGTTTGATTCCCGGTCAAGGGCATGCACCTGGGCTGCAGGTTCAGTCCCCAGCCCTGGTCAGGGCCTGTGTGGGAGGCAACCGATGG